CAGTCATTCATTCCAACAATTAACTGAGTAGCACTGTGCAAGAGGCTGGAGTCAGAATGACAACTGCAATACAGCGCCTTCCTCAAGGAGCACACGTTCTATTGAGGGGAGTTAGGCTGCAAGGCAGATATACCCTTATGCAGTCCCTAATATCCACCCCAATTCAAAACACTCTGACTCTGCTCCAGGCTACTTTGATCACTGGCTCCTCTGAAAGACAACCATAGCCCCTATTTGATTTAGCATTTAACTAGATATCTGATGGAGCCCTCGTGGCGCAGTGGTTAAGAGATTGCCTGCTAACCAAAAGGTCAGGAGTCTGAATTCACCAGCCGCTCTTTGGAAACTCCATGGGGCAGTTCTACTCTGTCTTATAGGGTTGCTATGAGTCAGAATCGACTCGATGGCAATGGTTTTGGTATATATCTGATAGTCATCCAATCTCCAAGTAGAATGGAAGCTACTTGAACTACCACTTAAAATATGGTAGCTTTCATGTGATTCACTTAAATTACACAGAGCAGTTCATTGTCAGAGCTGCAGGTTAAACTCACAGAGGTTCTGGAGGTATGGCCCAAGAGTCATCACCTCGTACTTTTCATACATTTTTTCAGCATAAAATAGAGCACTTTTAAACAAAAAAGCACTTCTTACTCAATAGTGTTGCTTCAAAGACAATACATTCTTTCCATTAATCCTGAAGAATTTTTTTTACAAATTGTGATAGAGGAGATCATTATATTAGCAGGCTATATTATCTTAGCAGAAGCAATCTACTTTCAGGAAAAAAAAAGAAAGCTTAGACTTACTAGTTCAGGCTGCCTGCGACCCTATCTTTTCATGCCTCCTTGGACTGTGACAGACTGAGTATCTTTCTTCTGATGTAAACAGCATGGCTCCCTTACCTGTATCCCGCCCCACTTCTTCTATCAGCAATCACTACCCTAATTCAAGCACTACTGTGAACTACACCACTAGAGTGGAAGCACCAAGAGGGAAGACTGTGTTGTGTTTTATTTACTGATGCATCCCCAGTGCCTGACGGAGTTGACACACACTCAGTTGGTGCTCAGTACGTATTTGCTGGATGAATATATGAATGGACGTTCAGAGTTCTGCATATGGTTTACTTTACGCAAGGTACACCTCAGCTATACAGCACTGTCATTCATTTCTCTTCCTTAAATACAGACATGGCCCAAAAGCCTCGTTCCGATAATTCTGGGGTCCAATGTTCTCTGAAGAGCAGCTAGATTGTGAGCAAAAAGAGAGAATGTCAGTGCAAATTAGCACCAAGCCATCATCTTGCTTTCTACCTGTCACACATCTTCCTAACTTGACACTCCTCAAAAGCCACACAATGTGAAAGCTGTTCTAAAGACAGAGAATGGCTCTGTCTCACGCTTCAACAAGTTATATAAGTGCTTAGAATTTTTGTTCTAACTAAAACCTCCAGATTAAGTGTTTCTTAGAGCTCAAGTGTTATCATATTAGAAGGACTCTTCAGGCGATGTCGGTAAGAAGAGATACATAAAACTAATACTTTGTTTCCCAATTACATTTTATACTTTCAGAATTCATCCATCCCTCCAACCACAATGTTTTCAAATGATCTAAACTTTTTATGACGATTTTGTCACATATCTAATATGAGAAGGAGGTCTGCTTCAAGGGAAAAATCTTAATTTTGTGAGCTGAGGAAGGTATTTTAAAATTGACTAGGTGTATTACAGTCAATATAATTTATTGCATAGCAAAGAACATTTGATTCCAGGCGTTAAGTGTCACCAAGATATGAGAGAATACGAGAAAAGCATGAAGAGAAAAACAGTGGGCTGTGCTATAAAACAAGGAGAAAATATGATATGAAGTAATAAAAAATCCCCCCAAATAAAAATGCAGGAAAGCGAGAGACAACTACTGTCATAGTCACCATGGGAAGTCTGTTCCCAAGAACTTTAACTTTTAATTAATTGAGCAGGTCAACCCTATTTCCTTTGGAGCGTTATTTTAAACAGTAGTTTGGGCACTCATTAAAATTTTTTTAATTTTCATTCTGGAGCCAAACATCTGATTGTTTGGAAATTATGTCATTTTTAATATATGAAATGATTTCTTTTTAAAAGTTATGAAAATCATAACTCACTGGTAATTAAAGGAGTAGTGGAAACCTTAGCACAATGTTTTTCTAAAAAAGCAGGCAAAGTTTGGAACTACATTTTTCTCCACATTCTGCCTTACTGAGAAATTAAGTTTCTCTTCCTTTTCCTTTTTTATACAAATGCTTATTAACTATAGTTGTCACTGAGCATTTCATTTCAAAGGGCAAAAACATTATAATCAGTTTTAAACATAGAAAAGGGAAAAAAAATAATCACAGCCTAAACTAATCCAAGTAATATGAGCTACATCTCTACAACCCTCAATTTTTCATTATTATGTTAATGACTAGGAAAAAGAACAAAACAAAAACCAAACCCGTTCCCATCAAGTCGATTCTGACTCATTGTTAATGATGAGAGGGGAATGATAATGAGGAGAAAGAGAGTTTATATGGGTTTACAGGAGAAAGGAGTTCAGCCTGTCTTCTGACACCACAATTCTAAGGTTAACCAATTAAATTTATTCCTGCCTTTGATTCTGATTAAAAATACTACTACTATTTAATAAACACTACTACGTGCAAGGCCATTTACCAACATTGTAGGCACAATAATATTATTATCTCCATTTTACAGATCAAGAAACTGAGTTTCACCCCAGAAGACATGGCCCCCAGACTCTCTGTTAGCCCAAAACTAAAACCATTCCTGAAGCCAACTCTTCAGACAAAGATTAGACTAGACTAGGGGACATAAAATGATACTCGTGAAGAGAGAGCTTCTTAGCTCAAGTAGATGCATGAGACTAAATGGGCAGCTTCTGTCCAGAGGTGAGATGAGAAGGCAGAGAGGGTCAGGAGCTGGTTGAACGGACAAGGGAAATCAGGGGTGGAAAGGAGGAGTGTGCTGTCACAGTATAGGGAGAGTAATGAGGGTCACATAACAATGTATGTATAAATTTTTGTATGTGAGACTAACCTGAATTATAAACTTTCACTTAAAGCACAGTTAAAAAAAAAAAAAAGAAAGAAACTGAGTCTCATAGAGTTTTACTTTTCTTTCATTTCTATTTAAAGTGAAGGGGAAAAAGTTCACTCTTTCATGTTCACCGGTACCTCTATGGACCAAGTACTTTTTCTGCCTCTGGGGTTACTGGGAAGCTGCTGCACCACTGATGCAGTGTCTGCCCAGGGCAGGGGCCTTTACGACCACGTGAAACTGAAGAAGTGGGCGTGTGTCCATCACAGGGTATTGTATGAGGTGTCTGAATTTTTGGTAGGAAAAATAAAAATTTTGAAAATTTGTATTTGTTACACATACGTACTATCTTAGTTATCTAGCGCTGCTATAACAGAAATACCACAAGCGGATGGTTTTTAACAAATAGAAGTTTATTTCCTTACAGTAAAGTAAGCTAAAAGTCCAAATTCAGGGCGTCAGCTCCAGGGGATGGCTTTCTCTCTCTGTCAGACTTCTCATCAATGTTCCCCCGGACTAGGAGCTTCTCCGCGCAGGGACCCCGGGTCCAAAGGACGCGCTCTGCTCCCGGCACTGCTTTCTTGATGGTATGAGGTCTCCCTCTTCTCTCTGCTCACTTCTCTCTTTTATATATCAAGAGACTGCCTCAGGACACAATCCAATCTTGTAGATTGAGTCCTGCCTCACTAACACAACTGCCACCCATCCTCCCTCATTAACATCATAGAGGCAGGATTTACAACATATAGGAAAATCACACAATACCGGGAATCATGGCCCAGCCAAACTGATACACACATTTTTTTGGGGGGACATAATTCAATCCATGACATGTACCCATATACCCTGGTGGAATATAATTAGCAGTACCCGCTATGCACCACTAAACACTTAGGGTCGGCTTGGAGGAGGAGGCAAGGAAAAAAAAAATTCATACTATCTACCAAAAATTCAGACACACTCAATGATTCAGCATGCCTCCATTAATGAAAACACACATGGTACCAACAAAACATTCAAAGCATAAAATAATTGGTTCACGAAAAGGGTTAAACGAATACACGGTCAGGTTTTAAGTTATAGGTTACTGCAGGACGTCATCCACAGAGCGGCAGGTCTTGAAACCTTGTCGTGAAGGGGTGCTACAAAGCCTCTATTTACTCACCAGAAGGTATTATGCAAAGAAAATCGTGTATGCTTCATTCCGCTCTATGTGGATCAGACAAACTAAGCTGCACGACAGCTCGCGCTCTGTCCTGGATTATTTTGACAGGCCTGAAGGTGGGCAGTTGGAATCCACCAGCCGCTCCTTGGAAACCCTACGGGGCAGTTCTACTCTGTCCTATAGGGTCACTGTGAGTCGGAATCGACTAAACAGCAACGGGTTTGGTTTTGGTTTTGGCATTGTCTGCTGGAGCCCTGGAGGCACAGTGGTTACAGCGCTCGGCTGCTAGAGTAACGGTCAGCAGTTCGAATCCACCAGCCGCTCCACAGGAGAAAGATGTGGCAGTGGGCTTCCGTAATGCTTACTGCCTTGGAAATCCTAAGGGGCAGTTCTACTCCGTCCTACAGGGTCGCTATGAGTCGGAACCGACTCGACAGCAGCGGGGTTGGTTTTGAGTTTGGTGCTGTCTGCTACCCCAGACTTCCTTGGAGATCCCAGAATGAGCCTGCGGATCCCACGGATACTTGGGCTCTGGAAGGGCGGGCAAACGCCTCCTGCGCCTCTGGGCTTCAACATCCGGGCCCCTAGCCCCGCCGGGGGTGGTCGTCCCAGCGATCGGCCCGCAAGAACCAAGGGCACCCAGCACGGCGGGAGCTGGGCCTGGGAACCTGAGGGCGGCGGCCCCGCTCGCCGAGCCACGCGGCGCCATGGGGACCTCGGTCTCTGAAAGACCAAGAGAAGGTGCTCTGTCCTACCTTGCTTCTTGAAGTTGGACATAGCTCCGGAACCGGGCCGACACGGTGGGTTGCCCCCGCCCTCGCCCCAGACACACCAACCATCCCGGGAGAGTCCAGGTGGACCCGATCGCTTCCGGGATTCCGCTTTCCCTAATCCCCGCCCACAACACTAGTACTGTCCAATCCGGATCCCAGTTTTCTGTTACTTGGCTGTCAATCATCCGCCCTACAGCTGTAGATTGGCTTTTATCCGAGGCTGTTGAAAGTTGCAGTCTTTCCAAATCGTAAAACCCCGCCTTCTGGGAAGCTTGCTACTGAGCATGCTCCGTTATTTTGCTACAGTGCTGCGGGGAAAAGTTTTGAGATTTAGCAGTAGAGGCTGCGGATTGGGCAAAAAAACGGGAGGAGTCAGCGCGTGGTTGTATAAAACAGGTGACATTCAAACTTTCTCTGAAAGCAGTTTCCAGGTACACATATTCTGAAGCAACACAATACATATTCTTACTATCAGTGATGCACTTTTGGTATTCTCTACTCCGGTTGCGACCCAAGGCTTGGAAAACACTGGTACAAAGAGAAGGCAAGAGACTGAAAAGGAATAGGTGCATTGGAAGGAGGAGCTTGCTTAGTACTTACTAGAAACCATTTGTTCTAAAATATTGTAAGAATTTAGGGTTTGAAGACTAAAAATGATTATGGCGAAGAAAACTAGGAAACTTGAGATGAGTTGGAGTGTAAGGACGTGGCACAGGTCTCACTCTCTTCAACTGCTATTTTACACATACCTGTTGTCAATTTTCCTTATAACTTAGAGTTCCTTTCTCCTCACCTGATACTCTTCGGATACTTAGTTGAGAAACAGAATCATCAGGAGTTACCCACCCACAAATCTCCCTCTAATCCCCATGCGTCTACACTCCTCCCCTTTTTTCTCCCGTTATAATTGTGGAAATGTCCTCTTCTATCCAAGTGATTTTCTTCCACACATAACTCTCGCATAATCCCATTGTACCTTCTCTAGGACCTTGATTCATTGTTCACTTCTTTTTATTGAATTCATTTCTTAAAAAAAAAAAAAGTATTGACTGTCTATATGTCAGGTACTGTTCTAGGTACTGGAGGTACTCCACTGAATGGTCTAATGAAAGGAGACAAAGAAAATTATTAAGTAAAATAAATAGTATGCCATATGGAGATGAGTGCTTTGGAGAAAAACGAAGCAGGGAGAACAAAACAGCCCTTGCCATCGAGTCAATTCTGACTCATAGCAACCCTATAGGACAGAGTAGAACTGCCCCATAGAGTTTCCAGCCAGCACCTGGTGGATTCGAATTGCTGACCTTTTGGTTAGCAGCTATAGCACTTAACCACTATGCCACCAGGGTTTCCAAAGCAGGAAAGGGGGTTTCAAAATGGGGAGATGGTGGTGGTCAGGGAAGGCATCATTGAGAAGGTAATTTGAGCAAAGACTTGAAAGAGGTGAGAAAGCAAGCCTTAAAGATATCTAGGAAAAGAAAGTTCAAAGGAGGAGGGACTAGGAATGTTCCAGGAGATTGCCTGGCGTATCCGTGTTTGGGGAATGGCAATAAGGGCAGTGTGATGGGAGTGCAGTGAGCAAGGGGAAGAGTAGTAGACGAGATGGGAGAGGAAACAAGGAGTCAGACAGGGTTGGGGAAAGATCATGTTGGGTATTGTATTAACCTTGGCTTCTCTGAGGAGTGGAGATGGAAACTCATTTGAGGGTTTTGAGCAGATGAGTGAAACTACATTTTAAAGAAGTGACTTTAGCCACTCAGTTGAGAATAGATTTTAGTGGAAAGAAGGGAGGTGACCAGTTTATGGATTGCAGTAAGAAAGATGGCGACTAGTATCAGACTGGTAGCATTAGAGGTTTGGGAAGAGGTAGTCACATTTTGGATATACTTGAAGATAAAGCCAAAAAGATTTTCTGGTTGGTTAAATGAGGGCTGGGAGAGAAAAAGAGAAGCATACAATAGCTCTACATTTTTGGTCTGGAAACTGGAAGGCTGGAGTTGCATGAATGAGATGGAGAAAACTTTGGGAGGATCATCTGTAGGTGGTAATGTACAGTTTAGACGTGTGAGGTTTGACATACTCACTAGACATGTAAAGGAAGGTGCCAAATAGCAGTTCAATATGACTTTACAGCTCAGGAGAAAGGGCTAGGATAGAGATCTATAGTATTTAAAGCTATGAAACTATATGAGATCATCAAGAGAATAAGCACAGACAGAGAAGAGAAGTGGTCCATGGACTCAGCCCTGAGGCACTATAAGTTTACAAAAGTGGAGATTAGGAAGACCTAGCTATGAACATGAGAAAGACTGGTCAGTGAGGAAAGAGAGGACAGTGTGCTGTCATGAAGCCAAGTCAAAGAAGCGGGGGAGGGAGTGATCATTTGTCTCAAACGCTGTCGATAGGCCAAGATGAGGACTAACAACTGACGACTGGATTCATCAACGTAGAGGTCATTAGTGACTTTGACTACAGTAATTCTGTGGGGGTGGTAGAGGCAAAGGCTCGATTGGAATTGAATAGAGAGAACTGCAGAGGAGAGACTGGAGACGCTGAATACAGAGCACTCTTTCGAGGGGCCAGTGAAATGGGGCAGTAGCCATAGAGCATGTGAGGTCCAAAGAGGGTGTTTTGAGATAGAAAAGAAATCTACATGCAGCATATTTGTATATTGATGGAGTTCAACAAGTTGATATTTAAAAAATCAATAATGCAGGAGATAGAGGGGATAATGCTGGAATAATGTCCTTGATTAGGTTGAATTTTCAACTTGTTCTCTACTTCAATATTCCCAGCAGCATTCAATCCTACCTTAAATTTCCCGGAAACCTCATACTCTCTTCCAGCCCTATTTTTTTAATCTCTTTAATACTCAAACTTCTTCGAAGAGTTGACTCCAAAGTCTGTCTTCACTTTGACATCTTCAGTAGACTCTGCTGCACACACAGTCCATCTGGCTTCTGTTTGTACTCCTCCACTTTAACTGCTCCCGCTGAACTCACCACTGACCTCCGTGTCACCAATTCCAGTGCACTTTTACCAGTCTTTAAACAATACTCAGTGGTCTACCAGAAGCCTCATCCACCCAATTTCCAAACCACACACATTCATAGGGGAGATCAATTGGAAGATGGTTTTAAAGAAACGCTAAGGAGAAATTAGATCGTTGTCAGGTTTCTTTGATTCATCTTTGTATACCCATCAGCATTTAAACTTTGCTTTGAAAATAAACTGGAATTGATTAATATTTGAGTGATAACTTAGATGATGAAATCTAATGGAGATAGTGTTTAAAGATCTTGGTTTGTCCCATTCCAAATATTTTTCATCGTCTGATTCACTTCTATTCTAACTCGTATTCATTTTTCTATAAGCTTTCACCTTGGTGTTTTTACTTGGTATAACTGCTTTCATGTAACTTATCTCATTTCAACTTCACAACAGCTCAGTTAGAGATATGAAAAAATCTATTACTATATCTGCATTAAAAATTGGGCTAAGGTAATTGCCAAGATCAGGCGATAGAGCCCGGAATTTAAAAAAACAAAAAACAAAAGGTCTCTGATTATCAGTATAGTTTGTTTCCCTGTAGGTCATAACTTTGCTTTGCTACCATCAAGCCAGATCTTAGAAGCATATTCCCATCTATTTAACTAGGGCCTATCAAAATATGCCCAGTATCGCTAAATTTTCCAGACCGCTACAGGTATTCAACACAATTGAATTAATTTTCCTTTCGCTTGCGTCGTTTATACGCTGCAGACAGTCAACCCACTAAGGTGGCAGGGCCCTATCTAAAGGTGCTCACTGCCTCTCAATCCAGGTTTATAGACAAACAAATAGACACAATTATATAAATAGAATTGATAAAGATAATGCTGTTCATGAGATTTGCGGTCGCCATTGATGGATTCCTTCTTGCAGGAGCAGACAGCACCGGCAAATTATCACGTACAGGAGAGTACGCACGTGGATATAGCCAGAGGCTCAGTTTTGCAACCCTCACAGTAGCAGGGTATTTTACAGCCGCAGCAATACCTTTGCAGTGAATTCCCTCGCAAGAAATATCTTCTCCCGTGTCTTCGGTGCTCCTCTCCTCCCTCTGCCAAGCGAGCCGACTTTAAACTGTAAATTAATCCACACATAAATGCGCCAGCGTGTCCCTTATCTCGGTCCAGGGTGGGCTGGACCTTCCCATATGTTGAAGTGTGTGCTTATAGTATTCTAGTGCTAACTTTCAAAACGCTTTTAAAATCTGTAGTGCGTGTAGATGGAAGCCTCAGGACCACTGATATTGGCATTTTCTCGGGGAGCCGCCTCTTCCCTCTCTGTCCCCGGGTGACCCGTCCCGCTTCCCCGTGCAACAGTTGTTTGGATTGGTAGCGCTGCCGCTTTCCACACGGCGGCTCCTGCAAAAACCTCCTCTTTGAACGCTCCTCTAGGGGTTTCCGCACTAGAACCGGGCATGCTCAGTAGCCAAAGCAGGCTGGGGTAGCGAAGCCGCAGCTTTTGCGATACAGTTTCAAAGCACCGAGAGTGAATGGCTCCGGACCTTCTCTAGATGGAGCCCGGCGCGGGCCAGCCCCCCCAGTGCGCCGGTGCCTCCCCCGGCGCGGGTGTGCGCAGGCGCCAACCGTGAGAACCCGTGCGCGAGGCTCCGAGTGAGGCTTGCACAGCGCGGCGGGGGCGGCGGAGCCGGACTGCGCTCAGCACCTGCACCGCGGCGCCGGAGCCCGAGCCCGCGGTGTTCCAGCACGCGGCCGCGCGCCCTTTCCCTGCTTGCCTGGCTTGAGGGGGTCGGCCACCTCACCATGTCACCCAGAACCTGCTGAAACAGGAGTGCCTGAGAATGTCAGCGCTGAGAAAGGTAAGGACCGCACGCACCCGGAGGGGCCCCGGGAACCTGGGGAGAGGGGACCTGGGGAGAAAGTGTAAGGGCTGGTGAGTGCCGTCGAGGCGGCGCGGGGTCGTGGTGCCTTAGTCTCCGGTGCCTGGGTGACTGTCTTGGGCATGTCGGGGAGTTTGTACAGGGAGCAGACACGGTTTGGTATGGCTTGAGGGCAGTAAAGTCTGCAGGACACGTTGGAAACCCCTCCGAGGGGAGGCTTCG